CTAAGGGACGGGCATTGTTAGGTTTTTGATGTGGGGAATGAAGCTGTATATTTAAGTGCCTTGTGGGAATACCATTGTGGAAAAGCAGTGCCTCGGTAGTGCTAAGGGACTGTAACATGGAAGCACCCAATGTTTAGTAGAAGGGGCTGTGGTAAACTGTAATTTCTTTTGTACGAAGATCAGTGGGGAAAACCCCATTAGAGAGCTCTGGAATCTGGTTGGAGACTCTGAAGATAACCCAGCCTAAAAGCCAGGAGATTGGGGATTTGTACTGAGAAGACAACCATCTGACCATAAAAAGCACTGTCCCTACAACATTCCCAATTAGAACTGTATCTGAACTTGATGAAAAACATTGTTTACAGTATGTGCTACATGCGTTTGTCATGTGTTTTTCATAAGCCCTTAGATATCATAGAAGAGACAGGCCAAAAGAACCAGCCTTTTGGTGTGTACATTAACATTCCCCAAAACAGCAGATTTTGGCAACCTTCAAGATTTATCTTGAGCAGACAGCTGGTTGTGTAGTATGGTATTAATGTTGCTGTCTATCATGGGTTCCATTTCAGTACTGGATACTACTTTGGACAACTTAAGATACTGGAAGACGTGTGAGCTGTTTTTCTCTCAACAGTCGTTTCACTGTGATTTCACTTGTTTCCTTAGCTTAGGCATTCCTTGGAACTATAATTAACTAATACAACACAGTATTAAGTAAATGTAAATACTATATTGGTTGGTCTCCCAATACAAATGTACAGGGCTGTATCATATGGTGATACTGTATGATCTCAGCTTTATCTCAGCTGATAAAGGCTTCCATCAGCAGAACTGTAATAAAAAGACCCAACTGCTGTATCCACAGGTGAGAACATAGTTTTCACCTGAAGACCTGGAAGACAGTGATTTTACAGATGAACCAAGGTACAAACTAAATAAATACAAGGTGGCACTGTTTCTAGTGTTAATATATTATAGCTATGCTCTTACTGTGAAGGGAAACTTTGAACTGTGATACATTATTGCTGAAGGTCAGAATGCCACAGGGTAAAGTGAAGTATGCTTTGCTATGATTGAAATATGCCACAAAAGCTTTATTTGGGGCATTTAATAAATTAAATGAATCAACTTTTGAAAATATTCGAATTGTCTTTTGTACAAGGACCAAAGATGGCTTAATTTCAAATGTTTCCTTTCTGGTGATAGTATTTCATCTGGAATAGGGCTTATGTCATGCCCCCCCAAAATGGGCTAATCCCGAGTCACAATAAGTAATGCCCCATTCTTTGCATATATTTAACGAAAGCCACTGTTCTACCTCCATTCTTGGGTACTGCAGTCCACTTCCTACTGAAATCAGTGGGCAGATCTGTTTGCTTCAGGGTCGCGAGTAGCATTTTGTGTTTTGCTTCTTTATAGTTTTTTAATGTACTTGTATACACCTAGCAATATGGAATCTCAGCAATGAATACTTCATAGTAGTCTGCAGAAGACTTCTTAAAACTGTTACGAAATTTTAGAGTTGCCTACCTATGCTTCCTATAACTGAAAATAATTACCACATATTTTCCAAGGCAAATGCAAGTATCACTGGGAAGGATTGTGGAGAACTTTGTGTTGGTGCTTAAGTAATTGCAAGACCAGGGTGTAAGGAAGATCTTAAGCTAGAATTTAAAAAAAAGGATGTCCTACCACTAACAAAGCACAGCAACATTTAGTACGTGCTGCAGCATTACTGTTTAGACAGAGCAACTCAAAAGAATGACAACCAAGTAAGGGGAGGCCAAATTGTTTTATTTAAGTTCTTTTTTAAAAATAGCCAATTATTTCTGGCAGTTTGCTCTGCTATTCTCTATTAAGAGAATCAACAGAGCTAAGTTTCTGGGCTAATTAATCTAATCAAAAATTTATATTTCCAATGAGAAATTGAACTCCATATACTGTTTCAAGCTCATGATTTTATGAGCGCTTCTTATCCAATGAAGCATTGTGCCAAATTGTAAAACTTTTCAGTAGTGCATTAGCAATGTTTTCACATTTCCATCTGAACATTGAGATGAGTTCTTCTTCTTTCAGAATCTCAGCACCTTGTGCAAACGTTGTCAGGTCTTTCTATGTGTCAAGCACACATTAGAAGGTGTCCGTTATTATATACAAAAACCACTTACCACGTGGGCAGTGTAAAATTCATCCTTTCATAACAAAACTAAAATGTACTTCAAAATATGAATATACACATTACATGATATACACTATTTACACAACCATAAAAAATAGAGTAAAAGTTTGCGAATTTAAGATTTGACAGTCTTTCGCACTTCATGTTGCAACAAGGCAGGTTTCAAATTCCTGGTATGCTCTCTGTAAATACCCATAAGCTACGCTTGAACTTTTAAGAGAGTTTTTAGATGGACTGCCATCATCTTCCTGTTTTGGTCAGAATATTCAACAGGGCTTCCTACCCAATGACTGGGAGGCTTTGGAAGGACACTGGGTGAAGGAGGGTCACTAAACTTTGCCCCAGCATAGTTTTCTTTTTGGTTAGCTTCAGTCAGAAAAACAGGTTTCTTTGATTTCACATTTTCTGCATTTTTCAGAGGCTTTTTCTCCTGCTTTTTAATGAGTTCAGGTGACACGGATTGTTGCCAAAAGTTATTTTCACTTTTTTTTGAAGGTGGAATCTTGTTTAGTGGTATATTACATTTGTTCCTTGGTCTGTTAATCTTTGATTGGTCACAAAGGTGTATACTGTGAATAGGTTGACTGTAAGGAATGGTAACCTTCTCGGACTTTCCCATCCTGTTTCTGAACAACTGCAAAGATAAAAGATAATTTCATAAATATATTTAACTACATTCACAGTTATTGTTTCAAAGTTAGTTGTCCTTCACATTCACTCTTTATTGTGTTAAATGATTCTGTGATGTTGAAATACCAGACGTAGAAACATGCAGATGCAACGAACATGCAATTCTTCCAGATGCCCCGTTTACTTAGCATTCATTCTGATCTGTCTGCTGAGAGATTACGATGAGCACTGTTCTGAAATCATATTGAGTTGCTAGTGCAGTGGTTATACATCTTCCCATTAATCATGTACACTTTTCAGTGCATTTCCCTACTGCTATATCCCAAACACAAAAATCAGCTTGTGGGTGTGTTGCACCAGTGTGACAGATCTAATTAACCGGTTTAATTGTGCAAACCTAAATTTCTGGTATGCGTTCAAATCCCTTCCACAAACTACAGATAATCTGGAGGCAATCTAACTACGGAGTGATTCCAATTGAAGGCACCAGGAGTTAAGTATGCACAGGATTGTACTATTTTCTATGGGGCTGTATAATTCAAATTTCAGTAAGCAACAGACAATCAGCAGAATTTTTATTTTATTTTTAAAGTTTTGAGCTCCGTTAATATGGAGCAATGCTGCTTAAATTCAAAGGGATTTGGGGGGGGTTTGCTCCAGAAAAAGCGACTCTTTGATCCCATAACTATACTTCAAAGTTCTCCCACAAAATGAAAAACTATCCCGATTAGGTAACTTCTATAAATCTAAAGAAGACGGGAAGATTTTTTTTAAAACCCTCTCAATCTTGGTTATGCAGGAAGAACTACCAGTCAACTTGACGTCAACACTGGCTCCTCGCCCAGTACGGCTGCGCACAAAGCGTAGGCCTTCCAGGCGAATGCGGCTCCTGCTCCTCCCCGGCCTCCCCCCCAACTCAGTTCACTGAGAAGGCGAGTCTTAAGAGAGCCCGCATCCTCTTCCACGATGCAAACCCCGCCCCGCCCCAGCCCCTTCGCCTTCGTCCATTGGGCACGGCGTCGTCGTCACGTCTCTCCCCCCCCCCCGCGTCAATAGCCACGGACAACGGGCTAAATCGGGCTGTTGCTGGGGCGCAGCCGCCAATCCGATTGGTGGATTCCTTCAACCTATCAGCCCCGGAGGAATCTCACTTCGCCCTCTCCCACTAAAGACAACAGACGTAACGGAAACTTCCTCACACTCCCCCCCCCCGCGACCGTCAAATGGAAACTGCGCAGGCGCGTCCCTCTCGAGCTGAGAGAAGCGGCTGGCTTCTTTTTTTCGCCTACCAGCAATAGCCCCCATCGCCCCGCCCCCCACCAGCCGCGCTTAATATTATTTACCTCTTTCCTGAGGGGTTTACTGATACTGACGGGGGCTGTTCTCGGCGAAGGTGCCGGCGGTTCTGCGCTCGGAACCGTTTCTAGCCCTGGCTCTGAGGAGGGGACGGGGACTTCGTAGGGGTTACACGTCCCCTGCGCGGTGTTCCTTCGCGTCAAGCCGGCACGGTGTTGCTGGTAGTGCTGGTAGCGGCTCTGCAGGAGGCCGGAGGGAGCGGACCGTATCTTGGCTCTTCGCCGCCGCACTCTCTTCAGCGCCGGTCGCGCGCTGCCTCCTGGTCCCACCGGGCAGCAGTTGGGCTGGTGGCTTTCCCCGCTGCAGTCTGCCCGCATGAGGCGCTGGAACAGGGATGCAGGGAACCGCCGGGGGTCCTCGGTGCCGGCCGAGATCCGGGCTAGAAACGGTGGAGGCGCCGTAGTAGTCACCATGGTCGAAAGGAGTAGGATTTCGCGCAGCAGCGCGGAGGTGGTTAAAAAAAAAAAAGTTGAGTTGGTGGGCAAGGGGGAAAAAAGAGCTGGGGCGCAAGGGGTGCGAGTGCGGAGCGTCCGCTCGGGGTTTTAAGTACCTGCGCTGGTTAGGCGATCAGCTCCGCTGCTAGGAGAACATGGCGGGGGAGTGAAGAGAAGTCGCCACAACGCCCCACTGTTGTTACTCGAGAAGGCCGCGCCCCCTTCCCGCTGCCTGCCTATCAGAACGGAAAGCTTGTATGGGAGCCCGCCTTTCCGTCGCCGTTGCCCAATCAGCCCCGAGCATGTCCTGTGAGGGCCTCCCTACTTTCCCCAATGAAGACGGACACAAATACTGTGCAGGAGGTCACGCCCCCTTTCTAGAACGAGCCGTTGCTTTCTCAGCTTCTCGCTTAGCGATGAGCGAAATGAGGAGAGGGTGCTTCACCTCCCCACTGCCAGCCCTCTTAGGAGTGCAGACCACCCACCCTTCATTTGAGAATAAGCCCCATTGAAGTCAGTGGGATTCACTTCTGAGTAAACAAGCGCAGGGTTGCGCTGTTAGGCGGCAGACGCCAATCAAGCGCGACAAATCGCGGGAGCCACGCCTCTCCCGCCTGCGCGCCGGCTAATCCGAAGCGCGTATGGAGGCCAAGGCCCGCCTCCTTTCTGAGAGAGGGGGCGGTTGATACCTCCGGCAGTTCCGAGTAGCGCGCCGGGCAATGGCTGAGGCGGCGGCGGCGGGAGTTTCCCCGCGGGGCGGCGGCGCGGGTAGCCTGTCGGAGGAGCCGCCGAGCGGCCTGGAGCGCGAGGGCCCCGTGCGCTGGGACGGGCGCCTCACGCACTTCGTGGCCCGCGACTTCGAGCAGCAGATGCGGCGCAGCGCCCCGCTGGGCTCCGGCTGCCTCATCCCCGCCGTGGACCCCGCGGCGCTGCAGGACCTGGCGGCTCTGGCCGTGCAGGCGGCGTCGCAGGTGGACGAGCTGCTGCGCAGCGTGCACGGCGCCCTGCAGGCCCTGACGGCGCTCAGCGTGGGCTGCATCCAGACGTACCGCGACGGCGTAGAGAGCCTGGGCGAGGCGGTGGACACCAGCATCCGCTCCATGTACACCCTGATGGCGCGCTGCGAGGAGCTGGACAAGGCGATGCAGCCGGTGCCCGCCTTGGCCCGGCGCATCCGGGACATGAAGGGGGCGCTGGAGAAACTCGAGGGGCTCTGCAAATAGGCCTCGCCGGGCTCGCTTGGTGCCCGGCGCTGAAACGAAGAAAGCTGGTTTCCGGACAGCAGATCTCTCCTCGGCGCTGGTGGCTTCCCTGTCAAAACCCGCTCTGGCCTTTTACTCCGTTGATCTCAGGACAATTGCATAGCTTTCTCTTAACCAAGCTTTTTGTTCGAAACTGTGCAAAATCAATTGTGCCACGTAATAAATACTTTCTTCTCCTCTTGCAACAAACTCTGACACAAATCGCCTTTCCAATACATGCTTATGTGGCTTTGTTGAACAGATTTTCTTAGTATCCCTTATATTGCTATAAAAAGCCATAGAATGGACTCTTACCGATTGATCCTCTATATAATTACTCAGGAGTACGTCCTTCCTAAGTAAGGGATTCCTAAGCTTTCTGCCTGAGGCTGAAATCCTGAAGATGCTTACTAGGTAGAAAGTCCCATTTTGAATTTTCCAAATAAAACATGCAAAACACTGTCTACTGTATCTGAAATTTTATGTCTGCAATTTCTTATGCGGATACAGTTAAATGGAATGTAGTCATAGTTCTGGAAGGACAAGGTGGCTAATACATTCACTGGCTGAGAGACATTGTTGTGCTGCGTAAGACACAGACGTTTATTACAACAAATATTCACTATCTTGCACTTAACTTGAGTATAATTCACAAACTTGTGCTTCTTCTATTTAATAAAATACTCAAAATAGATTATTAGCAGTATTGGTTTTTATAACAAACTAGAGATTAACATTCAGCTTCTAACTTGACGTGGCAATTTCCAGCCACTTACTCTGGCAGACAGTAAGCCCGCAACTTGTGTACATTTAACTTGTGTGCATTCAGGTTTAAGCATATGGCAAAACTTAAAAAAAAATTAAAAGGGGGCGGGGCTCTGGGAAAATTACTTTGTCAATCTCACCCTATTGACTCTGCATATGTAACCCCTGCATAAGTTGTAGGCCTGCTGTAATTTTATCTGTTTCATAGAGGTTTTTTGGCTCAAGTTTTAACTCTGAGCCAACCAAGCTATGCTTCTTGGATTTAAAGCTACTGAGGGAAATATGGTAATGTGAAACCAAGAGCTAGTGTGCTGCAGTGAACTTGGAATTCCCAGGCTCAAACCTGGCCTCGCCCATAAAATGATTTGGCAAGGCCACATTCCCAGGGCAAGGAATGAGGGCACCTGATGCAGGAAATGTGCTGAAGATAAGCAAGTCTGGATCTGCTCAGAGCTTAGATTATACAGTACTACTTAGAGTTCCATGGAAGAAGAGTAGGATGTAAACGTCATAAAATGTCCCTGACCATACTTGTAATTACCCTGACACAGTGTCATTATATGGTAACTTCAAATATTCACAAGTAAAGGCACCGGTTAATGAACCCTGGCAGGAGTTTCCCCCGATTAACATCTGCCCTCTAGTAGGGGTATTTCCCAAGCCTTCTATCTGATAGGCTTTTCAATGGGAATGTCAATGGTAGAAACTGGGACCTTACATACAAGGCGTATGCTCTTACAGAGCTTTGGCTTCTCGCCACATCAAGCACATTTGAAGCCATACACTCAGAATTTCCTATTCTGGATCATATTTTTAAAACAACATAATAATGCTCTAATAACTGAAACCTGTAAATTCTGACTTCTGTAGCACAACCTTACCAACTGTATTGCCAACTATAGAAAGTGATACGGTTTTTATGGACATATATATACCTATGCACTTTTATGACACGAACTATAATGTAAACTCATTAAAGCGAGAAACAATGACTTACTATTGCCGGCAAAACAATACCAATGGAGCAAATAACAATTCTGTGTTGCTCATCACTGACACTTGTTAAAGCTCCCTGGTGCTACTCACAAATAGATAAGATTTGGGCTGCACTGTTGGTATCATTAATCCCACTCTGTTGGGTTTGGGTTTTTAAAAGGCTTGAAATAATACATGTTACAATGGAATGCAACTACAAGAATAATTACTATTTGGTTTTAATCACCACTGGAGTTGCTGAAATTAAAATAACTTGAATGCAACATAGACTGAGGCAGTAGTTCTGCCTATAATAATAAAAAGACCTATTTAATATTAGGATGATTTTGTATAACTTTGCAATTCTGAAGAGTTAAATATCAAAGTCCTTGTTGGTTGGTATAATAAGATGTACAGTAACATTTTCTTTCAGCACCAGCACTGGGGGGAAAATGTTTGAAATTCCAGGTTGTAGTTATGCAAATGTTTCATATTTGAAAGTGCTAGCATTAGATTTCTAGTGCATATAAGCAAAAATGACATGATTTTTTTTCCCAGCCCTAAGAGGAGCACTGTAGTAACAATGATAATAATATAATACAATACAACACTTTGGACTGCAATCCTAGAAGCTGGAAATATGCAATCTTTATCCTTTATACTATAGCATATTTATAGTTTTATTTATTTAATTTGTATACCACCCTTCATCCAAAGAACACAGGGTGGATAGTGTATTTTAGGGATAGCATTTTCATTTTATGACAAGTTGCTTTTTCTCAGTTAATTCTCACAGCAAATAATTAAGTGGATTTTAAAACAAATTTAAAGTGTCATATGAGTGAGAGAGTATTTACCCTTAAGGCCTTTTCAGGAGTGTTTAATTAAGTCAACAACTTGGTAGCAATTACTTTAATCCAGTAGACTAAAAAGTGTGCTTTTTCTTGATTTATTTGCATCTCTTTGCTGCCAGTCAGTGAGTTATGAACTCAAGGCTCTCTTGTACTTAGATTTATGAATATTATTCTCACTGGTTTAAGGTATATTAAAGACTGGGTTGTATCCAGTGCCCTTGTGAGAATATCCTCTCATTTCCCTGCATACCTCCAAATCAGCTCAAGATGATCCCCCAAACCAGAGTAAATTTTGGAAGTAATCGGGGAGAGCGAAGGGCAAATTCCATTATTTGAGCAGAAGGATGTCATTGGGTACGATCTATTGCCTCTAATACATACCTTTTTAAAAATTATTGTGATAATGAAGTATGTAATATTGTAAAGATGAGGAAGCCCTCAGTGACTTTTGAGGCAACGATTTGTGTATCCATATCAGCTCTCAGCTTATTTTCATTTCAGATCTGGCATAAATATATATTCTTTTTCCTGTACCTGCAGGGTTTTTGTTGTTGTTTTTGCTTACTGATTTTGAAAAAAAACAACTTCCTTTTGAGACTTTCTTATTTGAAAGGAGAATGTCATATTGTATGACTCCAAGATCACTTTGCTTTGTTTTGTTATAATGGATTGTACCCTAATCCTCTTTCTTTCTTTTCTTGGAGCTCTGCAAGGTGCTATAGAAGCCCCTTCAGTATGTGCTCCCCCCCCCAAGACATCAAAAGTATTTACACCCCAATTGCATTTCTTGCCTCATTTCTCTTTGACATAATGCTTTCAGAATTAACGCTGGACTTCAACTAAGGAGACTGGTTCAAATCCCCCCACCTCACTCTTACTACAAAATTTGCTGGGTGATGATTCTGCAGTCACTCTTTCACATGGTGAATATAAGGAAAAAAATAAGGTAAGCCTGTGTGTAGTTGGAGGTCCACAGAGGAAAAACAGAATTCAAGTGTTATTCAGGTGACTTCATTGGCTTTTCATAGTGGTGGTTTTTTTTTCTACTATAAAATATCTTAATCTCTGATTTTACATTACAGTATTTCCTTAAAACGGTTCCAGTAATTATGTCATTCACATTCTCTCCCTTGTCCTTCCCCTCCTTGTTGCTGTTTGCATGGAATGCCTTTGACGCTAGAATTGTCTGTTTCTCTGAACCTTTAATTTGGGGGACAGATTTTACAAGCTGAAGTCCTTGATATATACAGCTGTAATTTTGCCAAGTGCTAAATATGACTGCATCCTTTAACAGAATATACCGTATTTTTTCCCCTGTTACATGAAGTAATAAGAGACTCTGATGCAATTTAAATATTTGACAATCAAAAACATGTTGCAACCCTAAATTACATATGTTGAGCACTTTGAAAGTATACCAATAAGGGGGTTGTCTGCTATAAATTAAAGGCTGTTAGAAGAAAATTAAACAGCTGCTGCCTAGGCTTGCTCTTGAGGATTATATGCAAGAACACTAAATGACTCAGCCTCAGGTGATATGGAGAAAGGGGTGATGTAATTGGTATGAAATACACATGACATCCTAGGGGAACCCACCCCCCGCCCCGCAAAACTGCCTGGTTAAAGCTACTTCTATTATTCTGTGCTGATAATTTGGCTCTTGTTTTTTTCCAAGTAACAGCAAAGGAAGGAAGGATTAGGTTGATAGTACAAAGTTGATTCTTCTAAGTATATATGAATGCGGAAAAACAGAGTTTGTATATCAAAAAAGATGGAGATTCATTTTAGATGGCATGGTGGGTTAAAATAAAAAGAGTTACCTGGTATTCAACCATAGCCTGTTTATTTTTCGCAGCATCCCCTGGTGCAACCTGAAACTGACAAGACTCCCTTATTAATAGTGCCTCATTTAAATGTCTGCTGTCTCTTTCCCTCATTTCATCTTAAGGCTGCAGGCCTCATTCATGGCTGCAGCAACAGCCAATGTTTCCCCCCCTGCTCTGTTTTGTTTACTATCCACCCAGCCTGAAGGTGGATGGAGAATGGAAAGCCTGCATGCTATTTTGTAGCATTTTGTTTGGTTTAACAATGCTGGTTTTGGAATCGTATTTATAAGTGTTTGTTTGAAATGAGAGATTAGCAAAATGAGAGATTCTGGAGTAGAAAAACACTTTTTGCTCTGGAAGCTTTCAAACATTATTGTCAACTCGCCTGTTATTACCACTGTGACAGGAATTCTAAGGTCTCATATATACTGTATAAATCATATGTTCATAGGAAGGAAATGGGAAAACCCTCCCCATTGTCTCTTTGTTCACATATTCTGTCTTAAGGGCGTATCTGCGTATGAATAGTGTGAGCCTGTGACCTGGATTCAGGAACTAAGTGTTTACCATCACAAAAGAATGGCCAGGATGCCCAGGTAAAAGCAATCAGTGACCATTATCAGGTATCTTGGCAGACAGGTTTTCTGCTGTAGACTGCCCCTTCAGTGATGTATGTATGATGTTTTGGGGGGTGGTCTTGAGCTACAGGGGAGGCAATTTTCAAATGTCTATATAAGAGCTTGCACACCATTCTTCTAGGTTCCTCTCCTTCCTCCCTGTGTGGGGTGAGAGGGGGACCCTGTTGCAACAGTTTAATAAAGATCATGCTTACTAGCTGCTTAGCTTCTCAATATTCTCTGGTTGGCTTCTGTTATTTTCTCCTACCGATAGAGAACCTACTTAAGGACTCTATATGGGCTCTTAGATACCCCATAAGGGAAAGGGAGCAGTATTTTTCTTATAACGCCACGTTGTGATACAGATATTCCCTCCCTAGAGGAAAGTATGGACATTATTTTATTACCTTCAGGATCTTTCTTGAAGCTCAAAGTTAGAAATAAAACAATTTAGGATTTCTTTTTTAAATAATGCCAAGCTGTAATCTTAACCGTAGCAAATGTAGATTTTTATGGGAGGTTGCCTTAGTAAATTGCATTTCATTGGAAAAGTATTTCCGTGTAGATATTTATGAGAACCTTAAACTGAGCAAGATGGGACAGAATATCCAAGTATGCTCAAGGGCTGGGTTTTCCTCTTTGTGTTCAGACAGAAGT